GGATGTGGATGTATTTTTGAATACACATTTACTTTATTCGATTCAAATTGCAAACTAAATACGCTAAAATTTTCAAATGATCAACATAAAATGAATAATTTTGAATATCGGCCGAACGAGATTGAATACAGCCCTTCAGAGACGAATTTTCGAAATTACATAACAAGCATCACATTCTTCCATTTCCATGGAACCACTGTCGTACTAATCATAAATTCAAGAGGCATCAAGAAATTTACATAAATTATAAGAGAGAGGGAGAGAGACAGCGATTCACTGAGAAATTTTAATATTTATCAAGCAAAATATGTATTTCATTATCGTATAATCATCAAATCGTCTCAGCTGACTGTTTAATCCTCACACCACGCATTCTCCTTACGGATCTGTAAACGTAGTCATTTAGTAATTATTTGAATGAATTTATTTTGGAACGGTACACAACTTGGCTCGACTCTCTGACGAGGAAATATAAATACGGCAATAAACTCAGCATTACATAGAACATTCCTCAATGAAGATGCGCATCTAGCAACATCGATAATTTTTCACAGATCATTTCATGTCATGATTGTGCCAGTTCAGGATATAAAATCAACGACTGCACCCTCCATCAGATCAAAACTCAAAATAAACATTCACCTGTTCCTCTTCCTCGGGAGTGAAGTCATTTTTGATGTTGAACGTTCGACGGATCTCTTCCGGTGATTTTCCTTTAATCATATTTGCAACCGTTTTGCATGTTACATCCAACAAACCTTTAATGTCCAAATAATTGGCTGCCTGAAATCGACTAATGAATACAAATACATTATTGAATTGAACAGGAACCAAAACAAAGTGGTAACGTAACATTCGATAAAGATGGAATATACTCACAGGAAATATGGAAAATAATCCTAATAATATGAAGAATACTTCCTTACAAGAATCAATTCGAACAGTGTGCCTTGATCAACTTTCAAGAATTCCACATCCCATGACGGAATATCGTCGGTCCTTTTCTCTTTATTATCACTGTCTTCGGGTGGTGCAGGATCATCTTTGTGATATTGGCACCATTGTATCACCTTAATTATTTCATTTCATACAAATGACTACTTATTGAAAATNTTCTAATTTGAAATGAAACGAAAAGATGACCTTTCTAAGAATGGCAGCATTAACATTCTGCAGGGGAATCGGATCACCCATTTCGGTATCTCCTGCCTCATTACCGTCCATACCAAGATCTAAATAAAATTATGTCATCCTTCGTTTCCATGAACAGTTATATTATTCTAGGATACTGAGGTTCAATGATATATCATACAACAGATACTACGGCAAAAGTAACAGTAATGTCTACCTTGGGAAATTCCTAGTTGAGATATTGTAAGAATGTAGCAAAAATCTACAAAACACGAACTTTTTCAAGGATATAATCAACAACGAAGGGTGAAAAGTTAGAAAACTGCAAATTAAAATATCACAAACCAGTTTGTCTTCATCAAACCTGTAATTTAAAGGAGTAGAGTCACTTTAAAAAAATAATAACCTTGAAGCATTGTATTGATAGTAGTTGAGAGTTTAATAACATCACGTTCAACTTCAAATACCTCATTGTCTGACGACTGCAGACGAATTTTAGCCTGTGACTTTTCAGTGGTCATTTTTTCGACGATACAATTAGCCTGTAATATTTCTAGAGCAATTCATCAGCTGAAAGGTATATAACTGCTCGCGACACATCAATCAATCGAAGACCAACGCAATGAAAGGAAAAGGTATAATGGATCAATAAAATGGCATCTTAAAGCAACTCGGTGCGCTCTAAATCTATTTCTTACCTATCTAAAGGATAAGACATTCTATTTGATTCTGATTTCAAAAACACAGGCTCATAAGGTATACGAAGATAAAACCGACGAAATGACGTTTCTAAGAGATGATACAACGAAAAGAAGGCGAACATCCATACTGTTCAATGTCCTCTCAAACGATAGTGAATGGAATGTAACGCAGGTGCGTGTCTAAAAACAACTATCCAGCTGAATGGGAGTGAAGAATCTATTTGATAAACTCAACAGATTAGCTCATAAGTAACCGCCTTGACTGCCATTGAAGCCGCATTCCATTCGTATTGCGATGGATTCCACGCTATTTTCAACTACTCGAAACATTTTGACTGAAGGTATAAGAAATAGATGTATTTTAATGAATATTACGATTGTATCAGGCCGTTATCGCTCATTTCTCACCATTTTCCTTAAACGTCAATACATACTGACCACATGGCACTAAAAACAAACGCAAAACGGCAACTGCTTCAGACGCAGTCGGACTCGTGCGTCCGAATTGCGCTGGCTGACAGGAAGGCAGCACATGGCGTTTGCAAACTTGATGTTCGCAATGGATAAATGTCGGTTTCTCTTCATTGCAGGAGCTATTTTATGGTGATTACCTCTCTTGCCACCGACTATTCGCTCAGTCACTGACTGCTGAGTGAGAGCATACAACAGACATGAAAACTGCGATAGAGAGGGATTGCTCGGTGCATTGACCACTGTCAAACGTATTGAGTCATGAAAAGCAAGGCTGTAAGAGACGAGCATACCCGCCTCACTGAGAATTGAAATCTGTGTCAGATACCATTTTCAGTTTGCAGTGTATGAGGAACGCAGTTCGGTGGCCCCGACCCAACTCTAATTTGTAGTTAACGAGTGGTCTGCGGTGATCATTGTTGTGCACATTAACATTAACCGAACTGAATTTTCGTTGAACGTTTCTTCATCATTGGGCGATTTTGTGATACACGCAGTAACTGCTTCAGTGATTGACTGAATCATTGGTATTGATGGAAGGGAAGGGGTTTGTTCAACGTACATAATAGGATAATGCTGTAAGCACAACGATAAAAATCAGGGGTACCCATAGAGGGGAAATTACCCAGTTTTGGGCAATTTTGAGATGTCAGGAGCACATCAAATACAAATGTTGACAATAGGTTTTAGAAAACGTAAACAGAAGAACATTTTAAAGATAGACTGAATTTCTAAAACATTTATGGACGCTCATGTGGTCATGCAAAGTTCAGAACAAAAAATGTGGATGCAGAGTCACACCAATGCGGCAATTTCGTTTCGTTTTTACACACTATTAGCAGAGATTTTTTATTTATGCAGCTCAATTGAAGCATACGATTTCGAAATTTTCCAATAAAATTATCGTTTGCTATCACTTCTGACCACTCGACCCGTTTACTTTTAAGATTTTATTTGTAATATGTTCTCAGATCCAGTTGGTTGTCGCCTCATTTGCAAGTTTATTCTCGGCTTGATTTTTGAGAACTTTGAATCAAGTTCAAGTTTGAAAGTATTCTGCGGCGAATAAGAATGCAATATTGACGATAATGAAGATAGAGGTTGTTTAAAAGCTGCACTTCTTGCGAGTTGTCTTGCCTAGTCACAGTCCTCCACTGAATAGTGTTGTTTTTTTGATTTGCTATTGATAGTAAAGGTTGCTTTGACACTCATACTTTGATTTGCTATTGATCACGATAGTAAAGGCTTGCATGAATTCAGCAATACATCAGGCATGCACTCAAAATGCCTCCTCATAGAAGTTCACTTTACTGTGTGATTTTCAGTTCGCTTCTGAAAGTTTCGAGTTTTGTAATGTACAAAATGAT